ACGGCCGTACCGTGTAATGGAAATTACGAGCGGTGTCTACGGCCAAGAACAATAAAAAAATCGCATTGTAATAACAGCAAGAGCAACAGAAGCAGCAACAGCAGCAACATGGGGGCAGTGCACCTGCCTGCGACTCGCGTAACCACTACAGTTTCTACGATGAGGTTCCGATGGAGCGGCGGCGATTAGACGGTTTTAGACCTATGAGGCTGCCCCCGAAACGACGATCTCCAAACTGTTTACTGCTTCCGCTGGCCGCCAGCAGCAAAAACAATAACAACAGGAGCAGACAGCAGCAGAAATTACACTGAGAGAAAATTAAATATGAAAGAAGCAAAGGTGCCGGACTTGGAAGCCGCCAAATATTTTTAAAATATTTTTACAATATTTTTTAAATATTTTTTATATATTTTTAAAATGTTTTTAAAATATTTTTATTTAAAAAAAATGAAATATTTAAAATTTAAATATTGTTTAAATATTATAAAAATATTTTTATAGATTTAAACTCATTTAAAAAATATTTTCAAAATATATAGATATTTTTGAACTCATTAAAAAAAAATATTTAAAAAATATATAGACATTCTTTAGCTTACTTAAAAAATATTCCGATATTTATGATCTCATATACAATTTGAGAGAAATGTTATTCTAACAAATCAATGTGAAACTTAAGATTACAAAAATATATATACTTATTTTCCTTTTAGTAAAATATTTCTTTAGCTTTAATTTATTAATTTCCTAAATATTATTAGTCATATTTTTGATAAGCTCTAATTTCGTTCTGTGCATCGGCAGAAACCACAAAAGCGTAACAATCAGAATGGCTCCCCCGGAGTGTTCCCTTCCCCCCTCACCCCTGGCTTAACCCCCGTGCCTTAACCCCTATAAAGCCCCGCATTTTGAACGGAGGCACCTGTTCGTCGACACTTTGACGCCTCGCTGATTTTAGGCGAGCGAGCGAGCCAGCCAGCCGAGTGCGGTGCGTGCTATGCTTTAGACTTTTTTGATGATGACTCAGCGACGTCATCCTGCTGCCTCCCCCACCTACCTTCACCTTAACCCTCCCCCTCCTGAAGGCCCCCAGATTAACCCCTCATCCCTCGCATCATGGGATTCCTTCATGGTTAAATAACCATGCGGGACAGCGAGGGATCAGGAGAGATGGCGGGAAACGCTACACTGCACACGAGAAGAGCTGCTGGAAGGTGGAAAAGCGGGTGGAAAATGCTGGTGGGGTGTGTGGGAGGGAGAGGCTACATCAGTTTGGAGGTTAGAGCCAATGTGTATACCTTATTAGCCGCCCAAACGTGCTCAAACAGGTGAATAAATGAATGAAAAGTCGTGAATGGGAAACGAGGCGAAAAAAAAAGTAAATAATAAAAAGAAGAATCTAAGAATTTTATAACCGAAAACGGTACTATATATATCATATAATATAACCGATTTAGCCCTTCTTTCCACAAGTTCGTGATCTTTTCGCCCGGAAAATGGAAAATTCCAGAGCAAACATTCACAGAGGTCGTATATCGGTTTTGGTATTTGCTTTTCAGTCTCCCGTCTCCGGTTTTTGAGAGTTTCGGTCTTTTGGTTTTTCGATTCTTTGGGCTCTTTTGGGTCCCCAGGCACGTACTTTGAGCGGATTCCCCGGATGATGTTTGCCCCCCGATGCAGCTGAATCAATTTTACTACACTATATAGCTTAGCCCTGGGCCATGGGCCTCGAAAATAAAAGAGAAATAATATTGAAATTCGTGATAGATTCTCTATTTCTCGATTTCTTTCCGCTTGTCGTTTCACGGGGAATGGTAATGGTAATGGTAATGTTTGGGGGCCCACTCTCACGAATTTCTCACAGATTTCTCACAGATCTCCCCCAGAAACTCTAATAGGGTTCCATCTCCGGAATGTGATTTGCGTGTGGCAGTAACACTTTCTAATGCTGATAATGACTTGGCATAAAAATACACAGAAAGAAATGGCAGAACAATGGCTTAAAGTATACAACATTTTAGGTGAAACCTAAAAAAAACAAGCAATAGAGATTCAATTTTTAGGGTTTATTTTAATTGAATTAATTGATGTTTTCAATAAATAAAAAAATATATATATAGATAAAAAATAAAACGAAAAATTTAAAATTAAAAAAAATGTAGCTTAATTTTCCTTAAATTATTTGAAAAAATCAATAAATTTTAGGAAAATTCAGCCTAAAAATTGTTTGTATTTTTAATTTAATTTAAATAAAAAATTTTATAAAAAAAAATTAAAAAACAATTTCTAAGCTTAATTTTGCTTAAATTATTATTTAAAAAATCTATTAATTTAAGGAAAATTAAGCCTAAAAATTGTGAGGTTTTTAATTATTTTTTTATTTATTAAAAAATCTATTAATTATAAAAATTACATTTAAAATTACAAAAAATGTCTTTGATTATTTTGGCAAATTTTTAAATTAATTTTTTTTCTATAAACAATATAAAGAGTTTCAGTTTAAAAATTAATGTTTATATTTTCGTTACCTAGACTTGCACTAATTTGTTGTCAGTGTAGAGTTCTCGCCTCGAATGTCACCCTCCGCTGTCACTAAACTTAACTCTTTTATATATATATGTGTATTTTTTTTTACATTCGCTTAAATGCAATTAACTTGGTTACACTTTCATGCGGGATCCGTTTCGGTTTTGATTCTTTCATTTTCCCATTTATTTTTGTTTTCAGTTTTTAGTTTTCATTTTTGATTAAATTTGATTATACTTCAGAATGCGTGTTTTTGGTGAGCGGAAGTGATCACTTGGCCAGCTTTTGGCACTGATAAACCTAGTGGTAGTGACATCATTATTATTATTTAATTACCCTAACCATTTGCTCGTCTCTATAATATATATATTTATATGTATATTTAATATAAATATATATACATATAATATGATGAATATATAGTATTATAATCGTGATCTTTGCCACGTTTTGCAAATTGTTTTGAAATTCAACGACGACTGATAAGATAACGAATGGAGGTCTAAACTCTTTTTAGAAAGATTTTAAAAGAGAAAGATATTTATGAATTTAATTATTATTATTTTATTAATTTTCAAATATAATATATTAGTTAAAGACTTTTTAAAATTTTCAGATTTTTAGTTATCATTATATTTTTAAATAAAGTCAAAGGTTTCATTTTGTTGTGAAATTATAAATTATAAATAAATATCCAATTCCTATTGGTCTAGGGATAAACCTAGATACAGAAACTGAAAATACCGAAAACATAATAAAAGAAGAGAAGGTTTCCCTTAGTTTTCCCACACAAATACAAAGTCAGAAGGTCAACATACATTGCGGGGCGTGAACCCGGAAAATCCTGAAAATCGCGGTTAGGCCCAATGTAAAAGATGTGTAAGGAAATACAAGATATATCATACATATGTACATATATATATACCTTTTCCGGACTAAATCCGCATTCGCTCAGAGTCGTAAAAAAAATTTCGCTGCTGCCTTCAATTGAATTTGCATTAAAAATCAAAAGCCAAAAATCAGAAACAAGTTTCGCAAAGAAATCGAATGAAATTATAAAATACACTTTAGTATTATAATCCACTTACTTTTGCTGTTTTATATCCCAAAAAAAAAAAAGGAGAAGATCCACTGATGAAAAAATATACCAAAAAAACGATGCGCGTGCTTTGTTTTTATGGTTGTTGTTGTTTTTTATCGTTTGTTTTTTGTTGTTTTTGCTGGTTTATCTTTCACCCCGATTGTTGTTGTTGTTGTTGTGGTTTGTGGGTTAATACCAAATTATTGTAAAAATAAATTAGCATATAAATAAATATTAAACAACCGAAAATTTGTTCGTGTTTTTGAATATCGTTTCGTTTTTTGTTTGGTTTTTTTTTTTTTTTTTTTATTTCCAGAATCTCTTGTTCTGTTTTATTTTGATTTGGTTTTATCTGGTTTGAGCCAAGTTAATGGTTTATTTTATGTGAATTTAAATATTTTGTTAACTTTAAGTTTTAAAGTTTTCCTTGTCGCCTTTCATTTTTCGCTGCTTTTGTTGCCGTTGTTTCTTTCATTTTTATACACTCACTGTTTTATACATACATATATTTAATGTGTTTTTATTTGCATTATTACATTAACTGTATTCCACACTGATGTATATACACGCGTAGTGGATATATAGTATTTCATTCACAAAGAAATTGGCACGCACACACAAAGAAGTCACAACAAAAAATATATATTAGATGGGTTTTATTTAGTTGAAAACTGAAAAAATTAAGAATAATATATTATTAAAAAAAATTAAAAAATATATAGAGTTATATAGTATATGGATATATGGACGCTCTATATATTCTTCAAGATTATTAATTATCGCTCGCCTGTTGCTGTAATAATAACAACTACAATAGCAAACCAAAACACAATAACTATTTCACAATGCAGAGTTTATGAATATATATAAAATATATATATTATATATTATAATATATTTTATTTATATATATTCTATTTTTATATTATTCCGGAAAAAAAACACTAAATAAAATAGATTTAATATTTTTTTACAAAGAATATTCTAAACATGACAAAATATTTAAGCACATTTATATATTTATTTACTTTGGTCTTGGGTATTTAAATTTATTTTTATATTTTAACACGTTTACTGTGATTGCACATGCATTTATTTATTTATTTTTGTTAGAAACGTCCAATTGTTGTTTTTGCTTGCTATTGTTGTTTTAATTATTTTTTTGTATTTTCTTTTTTTTTTTGTATTATTTTTGCTGCTTTTGGCGAAGCTGTAAGAGGAGGAGGCAGCGAAGAGCACGTTTACAGTTTGGTTACGAGAGGAGAATGAAGCTCCAAATAGGTAGTTTGTTTGCCCTTGCAAATGGTAACTGTAAATTTACACGCACAAGAACACACATAAAAAAATAATAATAATAATAACTTAAGACACATTTTAGAATTGTCTTGTATACCCGTGCTTGCTGTCGCTGTACGCCACTGGAAAATCGTTTTTCTGTTTTGATTCGACGAAAACTTCCGCGCTCCACGACCGCCTTCGTTGAAATTTTTTTAAATTTAACTTTTAGATTTAAACAAGATTTAGGAAAGTCTTTCAATGCTGGCTCGCGCTCTTCATCGCGCTCTCTCTCTCTGGGGCGCTCGCATGCTCTCATGCGCACCACCGTGTGTGATGATAGCCATATGACAACCGAGAGCGCGGAGAGTGATAATGGAAAGGCAAATCTGAAAAATTGAGTGAAGAGCCAGAGACGAAGAGAGCGTAGCTATTGATCGCTCAAAGAGCCAGGCAGCCGGCTAAGAGTGCATTGGTTTCTCTTACAACGAGGGGGCTTAGTGTTTATTACTCTTCGGAGTCAATTGCACAGGAAATAATTATGAACATTTATGCATTGTTTAAAAATTAAAATTGAAAATTAAATGTTATTTATTATCTCTTATTTTTGTTTGTATTTTTATTTAAAAATTTCCAAATCATAAATAAATGTTCAGTAATTTAAAATAATGTAACGATATTGATATTTAATTATTAAATTTATTTAAATGTAACAATTTTAGTTTGATGAAAAATATTATTAAGCTTAATTAATTTTAAACGAAATTTTAAAATTATATATATTTTAAATTTTTATTTAAAATTTTCCTATAAAAACCATCATCAACCATTCATTAATAATTAGTAAGCTTATTAATAATAATTAATAAGCTTCTAATTAATAAACTTGAGAGTGACTGCATCTTATGAGTATTAATTTAACATGAAATTTAATGAATATTGGGTTTTTCCCTGTGTAACCGAGATAAAGAAGAGCACAACAACAGGGCAAACTCTCTTACCGCCTGCAAAGGATGATTAATGATCGTCGTTTTTGTTTTTTCTGTTGTTTTTTCCCCACTGCAGCTAATTGGGCAATTTATATAGACACTTCTTTGACGCTTCCTGGTAATTTTCCATTGAGAAGAATCTATTTTCAATTTTCCATTTTTTGTCGGAGGTCGGGAACGCATCAAACAGACCACCCAGGGAAGCCAAAGAAAAAGTCCCAGAGTCGAAAATAAAGCACGAAAAAAATAAAATAAAATAAAAAGAAAACAAAAAGAAATCTCAGGACGAATGTCCTTAGCCGTAAATCCATTATGAGGCCTTGTTTTTCCCTGTAAATTTTCCCTCATTTTCCACCATCATCATCGGGGATTGTATCGCACTTCACGCTACTTTTAATTAGCCGCCACTTGAGCCATGCCGAACCGCCGCCACTGCTGTTTAGGCCAACATAATGACCAATTAGGCCCACTTTGGCCCAAATCTGCACTGCAAACAATGCGGGATAGGAAGTAGGCCTAAAAAAACAATAGGTATAATCCCAAGGAAGAAAATACATCGCATCTTCAGGCGATCGTAGTTGGACTTGACTTGTTTTTTTTTAAATAAATAAATAATAAAACATGGTATACGAATTTAGTTTTTAACAAGAATATTATAAAGAATATTCTATAAATAATTATAAGGCAATTAAGCAAAATTAGCAACTCCAGCCGAGTCTATTTGATCAAAAAATGTGTTCTTGTAATTAAAAAAAAGCTTGAATATGTTTTAAAAATTATGTTTTTCGTTAAAATATTATTAACCCCCGTTTTTGCCTAGTGTATGGACTCAGATCAGCCATTTCTCTTCGCTTCTTTTCCTTTTTTTTATGTTTTTCTGTTGACTTTTCGATGGTCAAGTGTGTGCGTCTGGTCTTCAGGCCTTTCCCTTACCAGAAAAAAATTAAAAAAAAAAAAATACTACCAAAAAGTTTAACAAATACAAAAAATCATCAGCTTTTTTTCGGGGTACTTTTCCTTCTTCTCCAGATGCTGCCTTGCTTTTTTTTTGTGCTTTAAGTGAAATCAATTAAAACATTTCTTTGTCTTTCGAATGTTTGCCTTCTGCATCTTCTGCTGCTTCCTTTCTTTTCCCCCTCCTCGCCTACGACTTGAATTTGGAATTTTCAATGGAAATTAATTTCTTTTTACAGATTTTTTTTCGGTGGCCTCTTCATCATGCTAATCATTTTCATTTTCACTTTTATTTTTACTTTTCGTTAATGTTCTCGTTTTCACTTTCCGAACAAGTTTCAGGTTTCCTTCTTGTTTTTTCTGTGAGAAAAAAAACATTAATTAAGAAGAGTAAAAACAATACCAAGGAAAAGTTGTTAAAAAAGTTTTTGGCGGGCAGCAAAAACTGAAATCAAAAAGGAAAACTCAAACTAGCTAATAATTTAATAATAATTTTGAAGAAAAATGATATAAATTGCATTTCAAAATTAGTAATCAAGATAAACCGAAAATATATATAATTTAAAAAGATTTTGGTAAGGAAAAGGAAAATGAAAATCAAGTTTAATTTAAAAGAAAAATATTTTTTAAACAAAATTAGAGAAAAGAAACTAAGAAATATCTTTTAAACTTTGAATTCATCTGTAATAATTTAATGAATTAATATTAATAATTTTTAAAACATATATCTTCCATATAAATTCTTATTTTTCTTCCATTATCTCTTATCTAAATAGCTGTTCTTTTTCACTTTATTTTTTGAGAGTTTTGTGAAAACGCAAATTGACAACTTAATGCCATCAAAGTTCAAAGTGCGCTGACAGTATAAACCGAAAACAACACAGCCTTTAAATCAAAATTTTCCCCAGGATTTTCCTTGCCGATGGCAATGCCATTCCGACTTTCCGACATTCGACATTGACATTCAAATCGAAACATAAATAATAACAATGATAAACATATCAGCACTAAGCCGCATATGCATGCCGAAGATACCAACAGAGACCCCGAAGAAAAAAAAAAAAAAAAAAAAAAACAGAAGGAAAAACTGGAGCTGGAGCTGGAAAATGGAAAATACATCGATGCCGACACATGAATCAAGTTTAGAGCGGGGAAAAAGGCCAACATTTTTAGGATTCATTTGCTTTCGATTCGAGCCTACAAAAAAAAAAAAAAGGAAAAGAAAAGAAAATACAAGCAAAGGAAAACATCAACACAGACAGGGGATAGAGGAAAAGCCAGCGGAAAAAGGGAAAATGAAGACATGGCGCAGACCAAAATGGAGCAAAAAAAAGGGGGATCACATGGCACAGGACAACATGAAAAGCGGACAGCAATTTGCAAGTTTGCCAAAGCAAAAGCCATTTACATAGCTCTAACTCTCTCACCCTTTCTCTAGGGTTTTCTCTAGTTTTTCTCTAGGGGTTTCTCTAGGTTTTTTCTAGAATTTTCTCCAGGTTGTACTCTTGGTTTTACTCTAGATTTTTTCTTGGTTTTTTGTAGGTTTTTTTGTAAGTTTTTCTGTAGGTTATTCTGTAGGTTATTCTGTAGGTTTTTCTGTAGGTTATTCTCTAGGTTGTTCTCTAGCTTTTGCTCTGCCTTTTTCTCTGTCTTTGTCTCTAGGAAGTACCTCGGGGGAACCCCTTTTAAAAGAAAGAGAAACCAAGGCCGCGGAGATGTTTATAATTTACAATATTACAAATTAAAAACTAATTAAATAATAAATAAAATTATAATAAAATAAAGGCAACAATGAATGTATATAAAATAATAAATCATAGACACCTTTTAATAATCCCTTTTAAATTTATTTTACGCCTTCTGATCTTTGGGATTTATACCAAAAATTATTCATAAAAAATATAATTTTTTATTTACTCATTAGTCTCTCAAGTTTGCGTTGATTATTTTTGAAGATTTTTTTTTTCGGGCACTTTGCCCTGCCATATTTCTTATTTTTGTTTTTGTTTATCACTAACGGGCAATGCTCTTTACTTTTTTTTTTGTTTTTTGGGAGTCCCCTCCCTGGAATTGGAAAAATGCGATGATGACGACGACGACAGCGAGTGAAATATTTCCCCAAAAGAAAAACACAGACACAAACATACACACAGCGGAGACATGGAAAAAATCGAAACACGGAAATCGTGAGCTGAACCTATATCTTTGGCGGGCCAGTCGGGCAATGTTCGGGCTCTGATAAGAGTAAAACAAAAAAGTACAACAAAAAATACAAAAAAAGAAAACACCGAGTTCAAAAAAAATAAATCCAAACCCAAAATCCCATAGCCGTTAGATATTCGTGACACTCGAACGAGGTGAGTCATTGGAAACCTCCGGGGTTGACCTTCCTGGAAGCGGAAAACGATGAAAACCAGAGAATTAGGGAATCAGGGAATCGGAGAATTGGAGAAAGGGCAGGAGAAACTCCTCGTCATCATCATCATCAACATCAACAACATCATCGCACATCTGGAGACCATTAATAAGTCGCCACTTAAGATGCCTCCAGGCAGCGTGTTATTAACCATTTGGCATCACTTGATCTTGGATCTCGTCCAGGAATAAACCCATATAAAGCCTCTTTAGCCCCAAGTTTTTCCAAAATTATATTTTGAGTGACGCTGAAGTGGAGTAGGTAGTTTTACAATTGGGGAAAAGTTGCATCAGGGCCTTTCAAATTAATAAAGATTGTGTAATTTTTAAATAAAGAAACTTCAAGTTGCTCTCTTATATGAAAAAATACTCTAATAATTGTTGTATTTAAATTTTTAATTATTTTTAGGCTTGAAATTATAAAAAATAAATATAAAAAACTCTTTAAATACTTGTTTTCTATTTAAAACTTTAAATTTAATGCCTTTTCCAATTAAAAGTTTTTAAAAATAATACCTTAAACTTGGTCAGGAGCTTCTATAATAACGATAATCATAATTTGTGCCATATAAATGTCACTTTATGAGTAAAAATAACTTCATTAGGGGAAAGGAGCCCCGCAGATGTTGTTTTTGTTGCTCTAAACTAATTATAATCAATTCTAATCGCCTTTAAATTGCTGCTTTTACAGCTCGCCTCCCGTCTCCTTCTCACTCTGCCTTTTCTGGGCCGCACTTTAAAAGGTGTTGTGTGTAAGCTACATAAGTGTGTGTACGTTGTGTATAAATGTGCTGTGTGTGTGTGTTTCTGGGCTTCCGCTTCGAAGAAGCCAGTAGAAACCCCACCACACCGCCTGTGTGTTGACCATTTCCAGTTGGCTATTTAGTATGTGCATGTAATTGCCATTACAAAATACCCTAACTT